CGGAAACAAGAGCAACTCGTTTTTGCTGCTGTCGATTCCGACGAGTTTTCCAGCCGTAATATCCAGTTCCAAGGTAAAATCATCATCATCATCTCCTACTCCATATTCATGTTTACTCTATTTTCTTTCAAAAACCAAGCTTCAAAATTAGTTTTCCGCCATTTTAGAAATTTGAGAAATCTTCCATAATAATCACTTGATAACTCATTATAGATACATTTTAGCAGTTTAAAAGCATAAAAAATTTGTTTCGCCATTGCAGGAGCTAAATTTTGAACTACGATCTCATTCATTCGTGTTTTTGTACGTATTTCATACTTTATCGATCGTTAACGACTGATATTGTAATCTAGTATCTATCTTTGTAGTCTATAATGGCAGTAGCTGAATTTGTTATTGTTGGTGGTGATTATATGGGAGTATGGGAGGAGACTTCCAAAAGCTGAAATTGGAAATCTTTTAGTAAGACGACAGTGTCCATTGCGTTGCGTCGCAATGGTTCATATAACGATATGATTGCAAGCGTAATTGAGGCCTGTGAGTTAACTTGTGAGTCAATGACTTGGTGATTAGCTATCAAATGAATGTGAGGGGGAAAATACATCCCACATTCATAAAAAATAAAAAATGATAGGCACGTGAGCTTTTACATGTTAGATATTAGTATTGATTGCTCAAGGCTTACATTAAGGATAAACGTCAATGCGATTCCTCCAATTGAACCAACGAATTCATTTAACGGTGTCAATGTTTCGATTGGAAATGAAAGATTAGGTGATCATTCAAAGGAGAGAATGAGTGATAATTCAAATGAGAGTTTGGGTGTTTATTCAATGAATATACATGATGATCCAACTAACGTGGGAAATCAGCCAGTAGATGCGGAAGATCCCGAACCAGAACCCAAATGTTGTGAAGAAATATAAGGAGAATAGGAATTAGGATCACAATCCAACCATTCCTTCTCCGATGGAACTAATTTATGCATAAACAAACTTTCAGTAACAAGAATGAGTTGCAATTGTTATTAGCCGAAGCAGCGGCAAAGAAGTCTTTTGATTTTGCTACTGTGAAGAGTTGTACTAAATACTTAAAGGTAAAATTGTATCTTGCAATTGTACATGGATGTTGCAGGCGAGGAAATATGAGTGTTCGGATAGATTTTATATCTACAAGTACACTGGCGAACATAGTTGTGGCGTTGAACATGCCAACAGTAGCCATAGAAAAATATCAATCAAAGTCATTACTTCACTTTGTGTAAATATGTATCGTGATGGCAAGGGTCCAAATGTTAAAGAGATTCAAAGAGCTATGTTTAATTATTTTCATTGTAGTCCAAGCTATTGGAAATTTTGGAAGGGTGGTGTGGTTGCCAAGGAAATGGTCCGAGGGACAGCGGAAAATGGATATTCATGCTTATCGGCTTTTTTCTACATGTTCGAGACACTTAAGGTTAGTTCTAGATATTGTATCATGGTAAACAAGGATAGTCATAGATTCATGTGTTATTTCTTGGCCTTCGGTGCTTGCATTAAGGGATTTGCCCACATGAAAAAGGTAATTGCAGTTGATGGCACTCATTTACATGGTAAATACGAGAGCGTGTTGTTGAGTCCTGTTGCACAAGATACAGAGAATCATGTTTATCCAATTGCCTTTTGTGTTGTGGACAAAGAGAATGATGCATCTTGGACATTCTTCTTTGAGAAGTTGAAGGAGATTGTGGTCGATGAACTAGATTTGTGTTTTTATCTCAGATAGACACAAGAGTATCGCCAACGGTAATGTGAACGTTTACAATCATGCTCACCATAGATATTGTATGAGACACCTCAGTGAAAATCTCCGCGTAAATCATCATTGTGGAAATTACCTTTATCTTTACTACAATGCAGCAAATACTTATTCTTTGGAGGAGTTTGACAATCATTTTGTAGAATTCAAGAACAAATGTCCCGCGATAGCCGTCGTCCTTGAGTATGATATTGGTTTTGAGAAGTGGAGGAGGTCACATTTTCCTGGCAATAGATATGTTGTGATGACCACAAATATCGCTGAGTCACTCAATGTTATGTTGATAGACGAAATGGAGTATCCCGTGGCATCAATATTTAATTCGATTGCTAAGAGGTTTGGAGAATTGTTCAGGGAGAGGCATGCATATATGCTTAAATCAATGGGTAATCAAATGGTGCCTTCTGCCGAAAAAATTGCAAGAAGAAATGATCGAGGGCGACTCCTTATATGTGGAGAACGTAACCGGGGACGACAATCAATCTACCGTGTTCGATGCAGGTTTTTCTACCTATGTGGACCTACTAAAAAAGTCATGTTCTTGTAAGGAATATGAATTGATCAAGATATCTTGTGCTCACGCAATGACCGTTTTGCAATCGAAGCATGACAATGAGTATTGTATGAGCATCTATGAGTACTCTTCACCTTTGTATAAAATTGAAGCGTACCTTCTTGCATACATGCATTTTATTAATGTTGTCCCTCTCGAGTCGGAATGGTGTGTGCCAGAAGAATTGCTTAATGTGAAGATTCTTCCGCCTCTTATCGATACCAAGCTTGGAAGAAAAAGAAGAAAACGTTACAAAGGCATCAGTGAGAATTTCAAGAGCAAGAGAAGGAACAAATGTTCAATTTGTAAGAGAACCGGACACAATAGAACTACATGTGTGAACAACAACAAATCTTACACAAGCTTGATTGAATTGGTTTTTGTAATCAAGCTACTGTTATTTTGCTGCCAGCATTTTGGTAAATTTAGTGCCAGCTATTATCATAATTAGTCATGATCTAATATAGATCAATCAAAAGATGACATACATTTTGGCTGTCTATTAATGTTTATTATCGAGTCCACCCGTTCTCTATTAAACTGTGTGTTATTAATATATGAAAATTCATGGTATTCGTGATGCAATGATTTTAATGCATGAATTAGAATGATTAAAGAAGGAAGTGTTGTAAAAAAAAGGTCATGATCTAAAGTTGTGTATTTTAATGCATGTGTATTATTATTATCATGCATGTTATTTTTAATGCACCAAATCAAACTATCCATAAGAAATAATCTAAGTATAACTAATCCAAAAATGACTAATACAAACATTATGTGAATGTACACTCTACCAAACGACCCTTAAAGAATTATCAAAAAATCATGTATTACTGTTGAAATTCGTATATCAAAATATGTACTAATTGTCAAAATATATAGACCCTTATATAATCGATGCATCTATATGTGTGTGGTGTGTGTACGACCAATGAGATTTACACTCTGACATTAGTAAGATATATTCGGATTTATATCTATGTTAAAGCATTGTCGATACTGCATCTACTAGAATATGACACTTATATATAGACCAAAACTAGTAGAATTTAAAAAAGACAACAATTAATTAATAATAAATTATATTTTTGAAATTTATCCAATTAAATAAGTTTAAACAAGTCATATGATCATGTAAGAGTCCACATAAATTGGGTGTGGTGATTAGAGATGTATGAGGAAGAGTTGTGGTTATACAATCAACATCCTTAGAACAGTGTTTGAGAAAACATAAGTATGTTGTGAGGATGATTACATGTTGTTCAACCGCACATTGTTGATTGGCACCCCCAATTTATGTAGACCTATACATGATCACATGCTTATTCTAAGGATGTTGATTGTATAACCACACATAACAAAAGACATCTTTACAACATACTTATGCTTTCTCAAACATTGTTCTAAGGATGTTGATTGTATAACCACAACTCTTCCTCATACATCTCTAATCACCACACCCAATTTATGTGGACTCTTACATGATCATATGACTTGTTTAAACTTATTTAATTGGATAAATTTCAAAAATATAATTTATTATTAATTAATTATTGTCTTTTTTAAATTCTACTAGTTTTGTTCTATATATAAGTGTCATATTCTAGTAGGTATAGTATCAACAATGCTTTAATATAGATATAAACTCGAATATACCTTAGTAATGTCAGAGTGCAAATCGCATTGGTCATACACACACCACACATATAGAGATGCATCGATTGTTTAAGGGGTCTATATATTTTGATATACAAATTTCACAACAGTAATAAAAATTCAAATGCTACTTTTCAACGGTAACATTTGATTATTTTTTTTGTATAAAAGAAAGGTAATCCCTCATAAACAACTCAAACCCTCATAAATAACTCAAACACTTCCATTTTTACAATGTCTCAAGCATCTCAAACATCCAATGCAAAAAAGTCTTAAAATTGTCATTATGATAATCCAGCTACGTTGACGACGTCACACACCGATACAAATCCAGGTCGACAATTCTTTAATTGTGCAGTTGGCATATGCTCTTTTTTTAGGTGGCTTGAAAATGAATCATCAACGAGTAGCCCATCGAATTTTCAAGGCGTTGCAAAATTTGAAATATTAAAAAAGCTACAGGAATCCGAAGAAACTAGGAATCTGCTAATGACTTTTTTAATAGAAGCCGAAGAGCAGAGGAATCACTTGAAAGTGTTGCTAAAAGATGCTGAAATAGATAGAGATCAACTAAAAGAAAGGTTGATTTTGGCAGAAGAAAAAGAAAAATGCCTAAAAGCTATATTGTGTGGTTTATTTTTGGTGTTTGCTTGTTGGAAATGTGTAACAAATGTGTAACATGAATGCAGTGCTGAATAAATAAAGTATTTCTCTCTATTTATTGCACTCTTATATCTTTTATTTTTTATCGATAATGTTATAAGTCAACAGTGATAACAATCTATAGTATTAGACATACAAGTTTATTGTCGATAATTGACTACTAAATAGATCAACAATGCTAGCAAAAATCATATACTATTAAGACATATATTAATAAGAAATCTAAAAATCCTTCATAATAAAATATGTTAAACTATCAAATGTACATTTTTATTGTCAAAAACAACAAAACAACAAATCACTTTAACCATGTTCTTAAAAACCAACTATTTCAAAAACTAATTGTCTTAAAAAACCATCTCAAAAAATCAATTGTCTTCAAATCAGGGAAAACCCAACTATCCCAAAATCCAATTGTCAAAAAAAACCAACTATTTCAAAAATTGTCTTAAAACACTAATACCCATCACAAAAACCACAAATGCCCTTACTCATCATCACCAACCTCACCATTAAGCTCCATCACAATAACCATCACGTCTATTTCTTTTTCCACTTCTGCCACATCAGTGGCCAAGCCTTCTTCTTCCAACTTTTCCTCTTCTTCATTCTCTGTTTTCTTCTCCTCTTGTTGTTCTTTCTCTTCTTCTCCACTTGCTTCATTTTCTTCATTTTTCTTCTCTTCCATATTCTCCTCTCCACTTTCTTCTTCTTTCTTTTCTTCTAGCTTATCCTCTTCTTTTTCTTCATCGTTCTCTTCCAGCTTCTCTTCTTCTTTTTCTGTCATCTTCTCCTCATCTTGTTCTTTCTTTTCTTCTTTCATCTCCTCTTCCTTCATCTCTTCATCAACTTCTTTAGCAAAGTATTCATCAACTGCAGCAAGATCATCATCGACTATAGCTAATGGAAGGATCTCGTCATCAACTGTTGGTACTGAAAAGTTATCATCATCTACTGCAAGATCAGAGGCTAAGCGTTAATACAAATAAATTATTTTACAAAAATAAAATATAAATTTATCTACCTTTCTTTTTCTTGTTCATTTCATTTCTTCTCAATTTCTCCTCTCGTACATAAGAAACAATTTCCACCATTGATTGCTCGAGGGATGCAACACGCGCACACAGACTTTCATCTTTAGAATTACTTGGTACAAAATTCTCACAAGGTTGATTAGGATTTTGATCACTTAAATACTCATCCTCCACATTCTCTACTGATGAAGTAAGGACAATAGGTGTGAGGTATGGGTGCACAACCTACGAAAAGAAAATATATACAAATATTATATGGCATTCACCAATTTATAAATATTACTAAATAATGATAAATAAACTTTGTACCTTTGTACTCTTTCCTTTGTACTTAAATTGATCACCTTTGATAATATTATCATTTTTTGCGGTGTACCATCTAAGTAAACGGGAAATGGGTAAAGGAGAATTCAAGGACTTCTTGGCATACTTTTCAAGATGAGGAAAAACTTCATATATCAAAATCTGAAATTAATAGAAGAACAAATAAATAAACAGAGGCTATAAAAGACTACACAAATATATAAGAATTTATCATAAATCAAGTACATAATTTATAAGAAGTACCAAAAATTTCCCAAGGAAATCCATATAGAGCATACAATGCATTTCCTCTTTCATTAAACACTTCACTCTGCTTCTTCAAATTGATTTTATTCTTCAGATACGTCAATGTTAAATTAAAACTTTCTTTCCCCCACAGATAACTATTAAAGAAATCTAAATCATCCACCATCTTAATGTGGCTTGAATCAAAATGTTAGACATGGGCAAATAGCATCGTCTGGACGAACAAAACCAACGGGAACTTCAACTTCTGCTCCTTATTCAACTTGGAACCCTTGATCAAACGCATTAACTTTGTAGCATTAATAGACTTATTCTTAGTCACCTTGTAGTAAAATTTCTCTCCCTTTTGAAGAAATTTTTTCAATTTTGCATCACGGGCGTATGCTGAGCAATTCATCCCCATCATCAATGCAAATTCTCTTAAGCCAAAATAAGTAGGCTTATCATTCACACAAAACCAAATTTCATGTAATTTTTTGTCACTTTTAACACGTCACAACAACATATAAAGGATCATCTGTCCATTGAACTTGAAATTTTCTCGAATATTCCTCAAGTATCCAAAACAAGTACTTTTAAAATCATCATAAATTTTTTCTTGAACTAGAAAATTTATTAAATCACAATAAACAGCCATCCTTGCTCTAACAGAATTTTTTCTGGAAACAATCCTATTTCATCTATCCATGTTTTTAAATCATACGACTTACCAGATATGTCTTTTGCACAAATTGGCAAAGATAGGGGATTTTCATCCTCATCACCAGTTTGGGTATCTCTACTACTCTCATCTTCACTGTCACTTTTATCATTACTAGATTCAACATCATCACTAGACTGGGCACTACTGTCCTGGTAGTTGTCAATCTCCACCATTATATCATAATCAGAGTTTGACTCATGTTCTTCTACAATAAATTTTTTTCTTTTTTGAAGCTTTGGAAAATTCTTTAGCCTTCTTTTTCTTATTTTTAGAAGCATTAGGACCAGATAGTTTAATGATGCCACCTTTAGTTTTAGCCATACTGTACTATATACAAGCAAAAATAAATTTGTCATATCAAAATATTGACCACTAGTCTATTAGCACAATCAAAGTTTACATTAAAAACACGTGTAAAAGAAGTAGCAGTTCAAACAAAAATCGACAGTAAAATTGCAAACATAAAACTTTAAAATCGATTAAAAATTGATCAAAATACAGTAAAAGTTTTCAAATCGTTAACATAAAACTTTCAAAAAATTTCTAGGCATTATCCAAATCAAATCGTCATTAACGATGCCGAATCAGAAACATAAACTAAAAAGGGTCAGAGTTTCAAAAGTTTAAGCAAAAGTCTAAACTTCACTACACTACCGCAATTAAAAAATAAATCAAATAGGACTAAAAGTTATTGAAAATATGATGATGAAACTTACCTTAGAGGAAGAAGATTGAACAAGATTCAACTGAACTTGTGGAAGAAGATTGAACAAAATAGATCCGATTCACGTTGTTTGAAATCTTCAGGAACTATTATGGGATCTTACGTTTGTTTATGATTTCAAGAATAGAAGATTGGAAAGGTTGGTTCTTAGAGAAAGGTGTTTTATGGAGGTTTACGAAATCGATAAAGCTGGTATATGGAAGATCGAAAGCCACATTGGAGAACAAAGTTTTGAGGTTTCATTAGAAAAAGGGTTTTCTAATAACCCAATATATTTTTTTTATATTGGGATTGTACTTTATTTTTGGAGGGATTAAATTTATTTAAAATTTGAAGTGTTGGGAAGAAAATGATATTTCAAAACTTATATTTTATCCCTCCAAGTTTTTAAAGTGTTAAAAAGGCCCCTGACCCCACAAGCCAACCCCACTTTTTGACTTTTTCTTAAAGTAAACCTACAAAATAAATTAAAAAGAAATGGGGTGGCTATGGACTAAATTAAGTTATATTGGTGGGCACAACACCAAATCTTCTCTTCTTTCAATCTCCCTCACTCCCTCTATTTCTAGATTTTTTCCTATATTTATCTTTGTGTATTTGTATAAATTGTATATTTTTTCTATCTCTCTCCCTCTCCCTCTATAGCCTTTTTTTCTTTTATTATGCTTTGTATGCTTGTATTAATTTTATATTTATTCTCTTTTTACCTCTGTAGACATTTTCCTGTATTTTACTTTATGTAGTTGTATCAATTGTATATTTTCTCCTTATCCCTCTCCCTCTTGTTGCATCTCTCCTTTTTGCCTTTTTTCTTGAATTTTTCTTTGTTTGTGTAATGATCCATTTTGTGGTCACTGAAATATCTACGGTCAAGGCGTAAGGGTTTTCATCTCTTTATTTACTTGCCAATATGAATTTGAGATGAGGTAGAAATGACTTTGCTTATTTTAACACCTCAAAACTTTCATCTAAGATTTGAACCATCCTTTATGTCTACATAGACCCGAACTTGATGAAATTAAAATTTTTTATATATGTTAAAATCAATTATTTAGTTTGGGGGTGAATTAGGTATAAACTAAGACCATACAAAATTCCTAGCACAAAGTTGAGTTTAAAACATCCTTACTGATTGAGTTTCGATATAAGTTTAAGGTCAACTTCAAAAGAGCACCCCTACTAGAATATAATGAATTACGTGAACAATAAACTATCAAATTAAGGATCTTTGAGTCATTTTTACAACTTCACCAACCGTGCATCAATGTAAGTCCTGAGTAGAAAGTTATGATTATTTTACTACAATGTGTCAATACAGAAAAATTGTTTTGCCATAGCAAAGATAGGTTTGCCATAGCAAAGTTTTTCATAGCGAATGTGGTTGCTATGGTGAAGGACGGGTAATTTTATAGTTATTTTTGGTAGGTCTTATGTCATAAACTACAAAACCTAATTTCAAAGCCCTAAAGGGACGATTTTCCCAAGGCTAGGGTAAAAATTCTTTGTTGAGGTATGTTTATCCATCAATTTCTTCATCTATTAATCTGCTAACAACTTAAAAATGATTAGAACTATTATAAATGATGGAATTATGGGTTAAAATCTCAGGTTCGTGAAATTGTGAAAAAACCTATGTGTAGGTGTAATATCACCTAGGATTATTTCTAGTTTGTAAACTAGCATTCCCTAGCAAGAAATTATTGTTCTAAATATGAATTTCGGTGGTTGGAAAACTCTAGTTTAATAAAGATGAGACCTTTATCATGAAAATTTCTTAAGAGGGGGTAATTCGAGTAGAAACTCTATTAATTGAGATAATGAGAGTATAATAGAATTAATTGGTAATTGAATCACCCTTGGGTAATTTTATAGACTGTGAATAAGGATAGATATAGTGGGTTTGAATCCCCAAAACATTTATTTGAAGACTAAATAATTAGTTAGTCTTACAATAATTTGTTTATATTAGATGTTGAACATTTCGAGGCGTTAAGAAAAGGAAATCAATCATTGAGTAGCTTGCTTTCTCTATGATCTTCGATCGAGGTATGCTATGGTTTAATTTTATGTATAGAATTGATAAATAACACTTATATATATATCATAAAATTGATGAAGACATCATGATTAGGGCTGTGGGCATTGTGTTCTAGTGAATGGCCTTTAGAATAATATTATAAGGATAACATGAATTTGTGTGTCTTTCATGTGATGATAAATATGAATAAAGTTTGGAATGACTAATATGAATAAGTTGATTGAAATTGTGTGTGAATAATTGTAAAAGAAATCTGAAAATTATTATAGCAAGAGTGGAATGAACTTGGGAATCTGATAGAGTAAAACTATGTGTATTTTGTTTATGTTAATAGCGAATTATTATCGTACTTGATAATTTGTAACACCTAGGATTTGAAAAGGAAGGAAAATGCAATTTTTGGACTGGTGTCTGTGTCTACGGGTGCCATCTATCATAGATGCTTCTATGGGCCATAGATGACAACCGTAGGAAATGGGAAAATAGCTTTTCAAAATTCAAACCCCAGAACTCTTTTTACGGTTCACCAGGGCGGTCTGTCAATTTTTATACAAGTAGTAAATAGGTCTCGTAGGTGAGTTCCAGACATAGTGAAATTTTGAGGGTCAAAGTTGGGTTCTACGGATGGCATGTCCAAAAAGTAGGTAGACATACGAACCGTACATGGGATCCATCAAAAGAAACATAGAAACTTAGATGAGTCGTAGATTCCCCTTGTGTAAAAGAATAAAATATTCTTTTAAAATCTCAGCCCTACAGAAGGAAATGATGAATTGTAGTTAGTTTTATCGGTCATAAAAAGGGTCTCGTGGAACTGATCTTGACTTAGCTAAATTTTACAGATGAACTTGTGTTCTATGGATGAGGTCTATGGACCGTAAGAATTTATACGGTCTGTAGGAAGGTCTCATGGGAAGTAAGGTTAATTTAGGTTTCTAAAGTTGGTTCTACGGTTGACGCCGTAGAAAGTGCTACGGACCGTAGGTCCAAACCGATAGGGCTGTCCGATAGTTATTTCTTCATTGTATTTGGGTCTTTTCATATGCATTAAATACTTATACCATATCATTTTGATCAAAATTTTAAGTCCTGTAACTACCTTTCAACCCCTAAATCTGTCCAAACCCTCACAATTACTCAAATTCCCAAAACCCATCTACATTCATCTTCTCAAATTCTCTCTCACGTTCAAAGGAAACAGAAGCTAGGGTTTCCAAATCAAGTATCATTTTCATCACTTCTTTTGAGCTTTGATCCTCAAGGTATGTAGGGTTTCATCAATGGATTCCATTCACCCATTGAGATCCAAAATATCTCAATTCTCCGTATTCAATTTCATCAAAATTAATTAGGTTTTCATACAATTCTTCATCGGTCTTTATTTTTATGATTCAATTACTTGGTTTTAGTCTTCTTATATTTAATTTCAATTACATGTTGTTGGATTGAATTCATAGGGACCCATACATTATTCATGATTTTGACTATGAATTTAAGAAGATATGAGTTTATGAAGAAAGTGATGAATTTATGAATGGTGACTTATGAAAGTTTATGCATGATTAAAAAAAGATTATTTATGATCTAAAGGTTGCTTTTAAGATAAGCATCTACGAAATTGTGGAAGGTTCTCTCACATAGTAAGGAATCATGATTGGTGAAAGGTTTTCGCATACATACATAATTCATGATTCAAGGAGCTACTTTATGATGATAATCTTGGATTGGTATCTTAATTGTTCTTTTCCATGTATGATATTATATTTATGAAATTGACTTTTCTATTGGGATTCAGTTAGCACTGAGAGAACTTTCGGGTGGAGGCTCAAATAGGCTCGTCTCTAGTAGCAACCTCTAGTTACAAACTACGTGCCCCCGTAGGATTGTCTTAAATAACCTAGGTAGTGGATACACAAATAGCATATAAATTATGATACAGAGTTCTACCTTGACAATTAGACTCTCCCTTCTCAATGTAGAAGTTACATCGGATTTCATGTCATAGCTCGCATAGTCTATTGTTGGTTAAAGCTAATATCCCACAAAATAAACTAAATATACTTCCATGGTTTTATGAAGGTTTCTTGATGATTTTTAGATGCATTATCCATGTTCATGATTTACGATTCTATTTAAAAAATTTATTTGTATGCTTTGACTCGGTCATGCATGTCATGTTTTCGATTATGTCCCCTTATGATCATATTTTATATGTTTATGCATATCCCTCATACTTAGTACATTTTGATGTACTATTGCATACTTGTGCTAACATTGTTTCATTAATGTAGGGTCGACACTCCTTGATGAGTCCTAGATTTGGACTCATTTAGGGCTTTGTTTTAATAACTTTAGTGTCCTCAAATGCCTAATTTACGCTATAAACTAATGATAAAGCCTTGATTTTCAGG